TCCCAACGTCCTGAAGGTGCCCCACGATCAGGCACGAATGTAATGGTATTGGTTCCCTCGACAAGAGTCGCCGGCCAGCCAGGATTGAGACCTGCTGGGTTGTAGTACGAGGCGGAGAGGTNATCATGAATTCCATGCTCTTATTGGTCGACAGAGGAACGTAAGAGTTTCCACCAACCGAAATACGTGTTATGACCAAGCCCCAACGTCCTGAAGGTGCCCCAAAAATAGGCATGAATGTAATGGTATTGGTTCCCTCGACAAGAGTCGCCGGCCACCCAGTAATGAGACCTATTGGGGTGTAGTACGAGGCGGAGAGGTTCAAGCCAATCAGTGGTTGGTCATTGTTAACTTCACAGGTGTATGGGATGTTGGAAGGACTGAGTATTACGCTGGGAAAGCAGTTCGTGAGTGTCACCGAGGGATCGTCGTCGGCTGCAGGCGTGGCCATTCTCGTTCGGGGGACCACGCCACCAGCCGCAGCAGCAGCACAGCGAAGAAACGGTTCAGCCACAAGCATCAGTACCAGACACAGCACCTGGATGTCTCTCAACTGCAGTCCCATAGATGCCAGTAGTCTCGTCTTCCTTCTGCCTCGACGCAGGATTGAAACAGGTTCAGAGAGGCCCATATCGCTGAGACTGCAACTGCCAATGTTCTTTGGTATCTTGCAACACTGTAGATTTGTCAACTGCGATTTCCCTTCCATGTGCCTCGTGTTCTTCGATTGCTTGAATAGATAAAACTTCTATTAGGAGCTGCTTGTCTTGGTTCCGCAAAAAAGAATCAAAACGCAGCGAATAGAACGCAGAGCATAGGCAATCAGCAACAGAAGAACTTGTACAGTGGACACTTCCCCATGCTTCTTCTATCAGCATACATACCTGATTCCTGGTGAGATCACCGTGTATTATCAGTAACGTTTTCCAAACACTTCTTTGGGGTTTCTCTCTCCCCCCTGCACCTCAGCACAGCCACTACACAGCTGCCTCAATACACTTCACACCAGCAATTCCCTCAGTGTCTGTTGCATCACTCCAAGAGACATCTCAGGTGGCCAGCAGGCCCTGAACCCGTGTCAGCGTCGTTTCACTCACCCGTCAGAAGCACATGCTGAGGCACCGTCAGCGGGGACCACGCCACCACACTGTCGCCTGCAGGGTGATTCGTATCGTTATTGTGTTGCTTGGGAAGAGGTCAAGCCCTCAACAAGAAATAGACGCACCTCCTTCCTCACTCCCCCTGAACCCAGACTCAAGTATTGTTACNCAAGCCCTCAACAAGAAATAGACGCACCTCCTTCCTCACTCCCCCTGAACCCAGACTCAAGTATTGTTACCGTCACTCACCACAAATGACCCACAAACACGAGAGGAAATCCCACCTTCACTCTGCTCCTTGAACACATGGTGAGCGCCACAAGCGTATGCAGGAACAAAAAAAAAAAAACCCCACCAACAACTTGATTCAGTGTCGACTTATGCAAGAT